GTGTATAATGAATGAATGAATGCGCGATACGTTACGGACTGCTCGGACAAGCGGTGCGAATTTGGTACAGGGGACACCGGCTACCGGTGGGGTCAGAATACGAAGCAACGATAATTCTTTCCGACCAAAGTTCTGGTAAAGGGGTGCTGAGGGAGAACGTTCAAACACTTCAGTCATGCGTACTGTTGATGACCTCTAGCACTGACACACTCATCCCTGTCTGCCTTCCGTTAACACCAATGTATCAACCTACTCGGGAGCATACCTGTCTCCCATCGACGTATACATCTAGCCCGCAGCTTATGCAACTGCGCCATGGAGGACGGTATTTGACTATGGTGAATTGTTAGCTAAATGCGATATAGCCTGACACATCCTCCACTGCCATGCAGGCACCTGCCATGCAGATGACAGCGGTCGACCTTCCGGCGTCAGGACTTCCCGGTTACGGCAGCTATGAATCGACATAGCATTTTGTGGAATCCGTACGGGCGAATTGGTATTACTTATGAATGGAAGGATTTTGGCGGGCTAGTTGGCAAGAGCCACTAGCAGTCATGGGTTCGATCCTCCGCAGAGGACCGAAGGATGCGCACCACTGATGAGCCCCAATAGGGCGAAACGGCCGTCTGGTGCTTTCCGGATAGCCAACGGATTATCTGAGACAGTCGCACGCGCTTTTCTCGAGCGCTGGGTAACTCAGTTCGGTCACCCAACCGTAGTGATCGAGGATCACACTTCGACGGATCCTTCAGTAAACTTCTCCACTGTACAAACGTTCCACCGGTAACTCAAGGCATCGCTCTGTGCCTAGTCTAGCATCTCTTGGCTTGAAGTACTTCCGCTCGTTCTCTTAGGAGTAAGGAACACGATTAAAACGATTTGCACGCCACTCCATCTTCGCTAGCCTTTCGCTGCACACAACGACCAAAAGCACCATCAGCCTTCGACTGTAGCGACTGCAGCTCGCCTATCTCATCACATACGACAACTTCAGCCTATGTAACCCAGAGCACATAGCTTGCGTACAAACGTGGACGAACACTTAACCACTTGCACGCACGTGTCCGTTCGCACTGACAGTGTACGCCGGTCACTTCAACTTCCTTATTCTGGCCCGTGTCGTGCCGTACGCAGAAACGACAAGGCCTTTACCATTGCCTATAATGGTAAAATAGAGATGATCAACGTCCACCGACTCAAACCCGCCTTCCTTGACAGTACTTACTCTTCGGTGCAACAAGCACCTTCAAAACCTGCGCCATCTCAGCAAGTTCTGCAACCCCAGACCAGTCACTCCGCTCCAGTGGAACCGACAGCCTCAACCGACGTCACCGCTTTACGACCCACTATCAACCGATGTGGTAGAAAAGTAAAACCCCAGTACGCTTTTCCGATTTCCTTAGGCATTGTTACTTCCCCTAGAGCATTCCTTGCATATTTTCATGCTCACATAAACGTTTCCCAAAATCCACGAAAGAAAGTCTAGAACGTTTCGAAACTACCAAAAAAGAACAAAACCTTTTGAAAACCCAGAAACCGCTTCGCACGTTTTTCGCTTTGCGCGCTTTTGTATATAGCTATGCACTCATGCTGCTCTTTCATTCTGCTTTCCACAATACACCGTCAGTTTGTTGCTCCTTGGTTTCACTTTTCGCTGGAGCCCCGCACCTCAACTGGGAGCAAAACGAACTTCTTGCTCAGCAAGCTATTTGAACCTTACGAACAGTTACCCACAGACATTTTTTACCGTTTCGACACCGCAGGGAGAAGACGGGTAGGAGCCCGCTAGAGTTCGATTACATGGTTCTCCAACAGCAGCTGCATCAAGTTTCACAATCTGGTCTCACAAAAGGATGCCGCGTGACGGACAGCCCTCACGTAGATCGATGGATTGCTTACACAGTCCCTTCTGGGGGAGGGCTATGTAACAGTCTGAAGATTCCCCGTTTGCCTGTGTAAAATTCTAACAACATTATTACTTTATTCTACACTTAGGCGACCGGTGTGGATCGTTGAACTTATTGCTTATTTCGAATGCAACGCGCAATCACCTTGTGTGTTTTGCGTTCCGCTAGCTAGTTGCGCTCAACAGTGTCGTTTTTTGTAGCTAGACAAACACGGAGCCTCTTGCTGTACAAATAAAAGCTTCCCCGCAACCCGATCTGTCTTCTGGAATCGCTATCCGGGCTCGGGCTAAAAAAGCAGGTTCTCTATTTGAAGGATGAGTTACAGGTATCGAATGTTTCCCCTACTCAGGCCCTTGTTTCCTGGAGTCAAAATGCCTCCTTCATTTCGCTAACCCCCCATCCATTGACGATACGGCTTAATCTTGAATTCCATAGCCAGACCGTTTCATATTTAATGCTCCCATTCTGCTTTCTTTCGCTTCCGGAATGGAGGTTCTGTTAGATGGCCGACTGTGAAACTTCGGGCACACTGACGAAATTGCACTTCTTGGATCTGACCGAGCCGCTATGCAAGCGCTACTAAGTTGGAGGACGCGTAGAAGTACCCTCTTCGGCATACACTTGGAATCGTTAATTTGCGAAATATTGCAACAAGGCTAGGCCAACACACCACTCGAAATATTGGCTCGGTTTACTGATTTAGGTAGCTGTATCGCCGAAGAGATTATCGCGCGCGTCGCTGAGGTTCTTATGGCTTCCCAAAGCTTAGATCACTCGTGAGCATAGGAAAATTTAAGCTGATCGATCCAGATGACGGCTTGCAACGCTGCAGTTCCCTGGTGAGCATTTCGTCAAGTTTGCGATTAACACCACTGATTCAAACGATCTAACATGTGCACCCCTATCAAATGGGACGCACCGGGGCCGTCTCATCTGGTTCATTACCTCTGATGATTAGTCTTTGTAACGACAACTCCGCCTTTCTCTCGATTTGTTTAACCTGGTGTTTTGCTCCTCTTTTTCAACCCTCAGTTCTCTGTTTTCATTATTTCGGTGACGCAATTGAAGATAACTGAGTTAGTCATACTTCTGTGCTCGGAATTTGACCACTGTTGCGCTTCGAGGTGCCCGCTGTCTGTTTAGATTGCGCCACGTAGTTTTACTTTGAATTTCTCACTGAGGTCCAATTCCAAGTAGACGTGAACCAATGGCCGTCTCCTTTTGGCTTGATGACTATCCTTAATTCATCGGATCGTGCCTGTGGCGAGGCATTCTGTTGACAGAGGTAGTGCCGAATTGTTTCCTCTTTACTTCGACCCACGATGTGTAAGGACACGCATGGGGCAACCTTCAGATTTCGTTCCTTGCGCTTACATGCGCAACTTGCGTCTTCTGTGTACTAATTGCCAGTGCAGCATAAATTGCCCGAGAAAGTCTTTCTGTCTGTTAGTCTACCTGTTTCTGTAAAATAATTTACCTATACCGCACCACTAGGCGTTTATCTGAACGCGTCAACGAACACTGCCCAGCGTGACTATCGGAGACCAGACAAAAAATACGCCACTAATATAGTGGTGCATCTGGTCAAAACGAACCACCCCTTCATCATCACTAAGCCCTTCCGCACCATCTACCATGTGAAAAGTTTCCGCTCCAAACATCAGGAGCCACACGTTTGCACAGGCGGATGCATTCGCGATTCCTTTCATCCGCCCCCTTTTTGTGGATGCATAAACAACTGGTTAGCACTTTGGCCCTACCATGACCAGCTGTCACCGACGTAAATTCCACCTGAGCAGATCACACCTCTACGGTCATTCTGGGAGTCCTATTTTTCATTTGTTTAACCCACTCCTTCTTAGATTAGCTATGTGTTGTATTTAGACTGACGAAGAATCACCGAAAAGGAGTTTGGTTGATACATCGACTTTTCATGTCCGAGGCGGGAGTTACCGTTGGTGACAACACTATGTGGCTGGAGTGACTTGTCAGTGATCCCCGTGCTTACCGAATCTGTTCCAAGTTGCTTCGCCTACTTTAAAGAGATTCGTCACTGTCAGTTCTAAGTTAGACAGTCCACGCACATACTGAAAACCGCTGGACAACCGTTTCATCTTTTTGGACTCTACAGCAGCCCGCATTCCACTCATACCTCCGCGACTTGAGTTCACTATCCATGTGTTGGAAAGTCAATAGCCAGGGACGAAAACGGCGGACAGCCATGAGTGCTTTCTTAATGTGGTATAGCATGGGCTGTCTTCCACCTCCATACCTATTGCGTTGTTCCTGAACCCCCAGATGGGCTAGTATCTGTCTAAACAAGGTCACTGTGACTTTTTAAAGCTTCCTCTGCTTGTGGATGCGACAGATTATCGGCATATATATCAGGGGCACTGAGTACAGCGTAGCATTGTAATTGCGGCCAAATAAACCCTAATACGATTATCGGAAGAGGTAGACAGATGGGAGGGTTGGTACCTCGTCTCCCTTTTTACAAACCACCACCCCCGCATTTGACGTGATTCATTGGGGGGGGGGGCGGTAACGCCAAATGCCATCCACTGGTGTTTCATAGTGAACCCACTTGTGCCACTTCGGGTTTTGTTCTAACTGAACCCGATTTTTCAGACTTCTCTTACTTAACAGACTACTGCTTCTGGGTTTGTTCTAACCCGATACTCCGTAACGTCTGTTGCTTCACACGGTAGATGTTATCTCGTGCCAACCAAGTCTGTGTTGTGACATTAGTGTCTTCACGATGAGGGATAAAAAATTGATCTATCCGTAGCAGGAAATTGCTCCTCCTCAGAGCCGTGATACCCTGGTCTGGAAGCACGTTCTCAATGCAGAGGAATTGTGTCGGGACGTTTCACCATCGATGCTCGCTGCCCGTTTTCTCAGTTCTTGATCCCTAGCCCCGGTTGGACAACGACGCATCATCGTTGCCTAGTCTCGGTGCAACATATTTTTCGATATTTTCTTTTGCATGTGATCACACACGGCTAAACGATGCTTCCTTGCTATCTTCGTCTTTTTAACGCACTGTTTGGTAAAATACCAATCCAACCCACGGGAGATAATGCGTGACATCGGAGACGGAAGCAAGGTAGAATGCATTATCAATGAACAGAATGTGAAAATGAAATGCCATCACAACGAAAAGTAGTGTGTTAAACACTGCGCCTGCCCAGCAGCCATGTGCGTACTGCGTGGTGCTGTGTTTGGTGCACAGTGTAACCACTTCGTAAGTAGGAAGTACTCAAAAAAAGGATTCGACGAACTAAAGAACAAAGAAACAAACAGGAAAGTAACAACGGAAGTCATGGCGCTCATGCAACAGTTGCATACTGGAAGATACTGTGAGCACACGAAGGATACTACTCATTAGTAAGACACTCGTGACACCGTATTCACAGGATTTATCTGTCGATTGTACATTGTTAACGGGTTGTTTATCATAACTGGGCATGTTAGCGTGCTCAGTGTCGGTTTCAACGCGTTCATCACGGGTGTGACCATCCCGGGTGGCCATAATGTGGTTAACGAGCCAACATTCGCCTCGTTGGTCGATAAGTGCGGAAGTTGTGTGCTTCCAAGTAGACTTGCAAAGACTTGTCTGTCTGTAGACTGGGATGCATGGTTAATATTGACACTCGACGATCCGGTGGTATGTGTAGTGGCTGATGGGCATCCAGCGTAGAGACCCTGAGCGAACGTTGGGCACCTCTGAGTCAAAGCGCCATCGGATCGTGAAGCGAACTCAGTCCCATCTGTCTTTGAGTTTACTTGCGTACACCTAAGGAAAGATATAGAAGCGTTTAAAATGTTTCGAAATACTAGTAGCTCGGGTTGATGAAAAAATTGTTCATTTGTTCTCCGAGCTTGTCGGTCTTGTCGCAAAGGTTTCACCACCATGCGAGGTGGCATCCTCAGTGCAGTGATATGCGGCGTGCGGTCTTATTAAATGAATCCTCCATCCATGACTGACCTACAGGTGACTTTTGAACATCGCAGTGTCGATTTAGGTCCCGTGACCTCTACCCACTTTCCCCAAGGTTAAAGTCGGCGCCCGAGTTGTTCTGCCTTAAACCGCGTGACAAAATGTTCCTTATTTCTTTCTGTCGTAGTGGTTCGTATATTGAATCGATGTCCACGCGCATGTTGATTGAGTGTTTCGTTGAGAACCAAACTTCCAAGAATTCTCTTTCTTTTCTTGTTTCATCCCGTGCCAAGACTTCTGCTTTGCTCCAATCGAAGCTATGTCCTTCTTCATCTACATACAATATAACTAGAAACGATGCATAATGCTTTACACAGGCTCTTTTATGTTCTTGTATCCTTGTTACCAGTTTTCCTCCCGTCTGGCCAACATAATCCCTTTCGCAATCTCGGCAACGTATTTTGTATACCACATTGCGTTGTTCATGTGCCTGTAGTTTTTCTTTTGGTTTTGAAAGGGTTTTTCTCAACGTGGCAGTTGGTTTGTGTGCCACGATGAGATGATGCTGTTTGAATAGTCTGGCTGCCATTTCCGATATGTACTTCATATAAGGCAGAACAACCCGTTTCTCCGTTGTCTTTGTTGTTGTGTTCGTTGTTGCCGCTGCCGCTGCTGTTGTTGTTGTAGGCTGTATGTTTACGTTGTTGTGATTCAGACACCTTCGGATGAAGCTTCGTGGGTATCCGTTGAGTTGGAAACATTTAAGTAGGTGCTTTTCTTCCTTTTGCTTTACTTCTGTGGTACTACAGTGTGTTTGCATTCTGCGAAACAGTGCCCGCACACAGCTTACTTTGTGGCATTTCGTGTGGTTGCTGTTAAAGTTCAGAATTTGGTCTGTGTGTGCCTTTTCTGTAAACCGATGTTTGCAGCTCGCCTTCCATGGTTCTTGTTATTAATAAGTCCAAGAAAGGGAGCTGGCTTTGCTTCTCCGGTTCCATTGTTAATTGGATGCCTTCCATGGCGTTATTCAATAGCTGTTGTGCGACTGTTATTTGGTTGCGTTTGATTATCACAAAAGTGTCGTCCACATACCGAACCCACACTTTCGGATTGATGAGTGGTAGTACATCCTCCTCCAATTTCTGCATAAGCATCTCTGCGATGAGTCCTGACACAGGTGATCCCATTGGTGCGCCTTTCAATTGCTCATAAATCTTTCCATTCAATGAGAAGTGGGTCGACAGACACAAGTGGAGTAGTTTGCATACATTTTCGGTCGTCATTTTTTCGATTCGTTGTTCATTGGCATTCAGCCGTTCCGTGATGACCGCTATTGCCGTCTACAAGTTAACAGACGTGAAGAGTGCAGTCCCGTCGAATGATATCATTGTTTCATCATTATCAAATCGCAGGTCTTTGATCTTTTGCAGAAACTGCTGGGCATTGGTTATGGAATATTGTGATCCATAGGTTAAATATTTGACGCGTCTCCACATCTCTTTCGCCAGGTTGTAGGTGGGTGTTTCCGGGAGAGATACGATAGGCCGCAACGGTGCATAATTTTTGTACACCTTTGGGAGTCCGTAGAATTGTGCGATGTTCGACTCGCGGGCTCTCATCCTGTCGCGCTCTTCTTTCATGAGTTGCTTCAATTCTTGAAGTTGCTTCAATGTTTTGTTTACTTTGTTTATCAGCTGCGAAGTTGGATCAGTGTCGATGCACCTGTAGGTTGTTGTGTCATTCAAGAGGCGTGTGGCTTTCTCAATGTAATCCTTCCTATTCATTATGACAGTCATTCGTCCCTTGTCAGCTGGTAGGATAATGATTGTTTCATCAGACTTCAGGGTATCCATTGCTTCTTTTTCTTGTCTGGTTAAAGCGTTGTATTGCTAGTTGTGCGTTACAGCAGAAACAATTGTGTGTCTTATTTGCTTCTGGGTCTCTTCGTCCAACCCATTGGATTGTAGGGCGCTTTCAGATGCTGCTAAGAAGTCGGTAGCCGTTGCATCTCTGTAGTTGTAGTTTAATCCCTTGATGAGGACTTGCTTTTCGGCATCGTTGATTGGTCGGTTAGAAAGATTTCTAATCCAGCCGTCACTGATATTTTGATCTTTAGGAAACGTCAATTTTGATAACTTATCGAGAAGCGCATTATGCTTTTTCGTCCTGGTGTTTGCTACCCGACGTTGTATTGCAGCTTCCAGTTGTTCTGTTAATTTTTGTCCAACGACTTGAATACAGCTAGACCGATGTTCGTTCATACTTCTGTCATATTTTCTGAGACGATTGTGAGCGTCGGTGATCATTAACCGTATCATACGCCTCCCGAATTGTCGAGCAGCAGTCCACGAATGAGGATGATCGATCGGCGGTCTGTAACTGATGCTGCTGTGGACGACACTTATGTGATAATCAAACGCAACCAAATAACAGTCGCACAACAGCTATTGAATAACGCCATGGAAGGCATCCAATTAACAATGGAACCGGAGAAGCAAAGCCAGCTCCCTTTCTTGGACTTATTAATAACAAGAACCATGGAAGGCGAGCTGCAAACATCGGTTTACAGAAAAGGCACACACAGACCAAATTCTGAACTTTAACAGCAACCACACGAAATGCCACAAAGTAAGCTGTGTGCGGGCACTGTTTCGCAGAATGCAAACACACTGTAGTACCACAGAAGTAAAGCAAAAGGAAGAAAAGCACCTACTTAAATGTTTCCAACTCAACGGATACCCACGAAGCTTCATCCGAAGGTGTCTGAATCACAACAACGTAAACATACAGCCTACAACAACAACAGCAGCGGCAGCGGCAACAACGAACACAACAACAAAGACAATGGAGAAACGGGTTGTTCTGCCTTATATGAAGTACATATCGGAAATGGCAGCCAGACTATTCAAACAGCATCATCTCATCGTGGCACACAAACCAACTGCCACGTTGAGAAAAACCCTTTCAAAACCAAAAGAAAAACTGCAGGCACATGAACAACGCAATGTGGTATACAAAATACGTTGCCGAGATTGCGAAAGGGATTATGTTGGCCAGACGGGAAGAAAACTGGTAACAAGGATACAAGAACATAAAAGAGCCTGTGTAAAGCATTATGCATCGTCGCTAGTTTCAATGCATGTAGATGAAGAAGGACATAGCTTCGATTGGAGCAAAGCAGAAGTCCTGGCACGGGATGAAACAAGAAAAGAAAGAGAATTCTTGGAAGCTTGGTTCTCAACGAAACACTCAATCAACATGCGCGTGGACATCGATTCAATATACGAACCACTACGACAGAAAGAAATAAAGAACATTTTGTCACGCGGTTTAAGGCAGAACAACTCGGGCGCCGACTTTAACCTTGGGGAAAGTGGGTAGAGGTCACGGGACCTAAATCGACACTGCGATGTTCAAAAGTCACCTGTAGGTCAGTCATGGATGGAGGATTCATTTAATAAGACCGCACGCCGCATATCACTGCACTGAGGATACCACCACGCATGGTGGTGAAACCTTTGCGACAAAACCGACAAGCTCGGAGAACAAATGGACAGTTGATAGAAGCGTTTATCCGTTATGGAATGCGTCTCTGTGGTGTGTGAACATGCGCTTTTCAGAAATCAGTATCATCTACTGCTTTGGGAGTTTAGTGTACAGAAACCGAAATACACTGTCTGGACGATACCGTTCCACATATGGCCGATGACGTTTTCGACGTCGATTTGTTGCTAGTTTGGTGTATAGATATCACGTAGAAGCATGGTTATTAGGACTTCATGACGAAGCTACTCGCAGTAGCCCTTATGTCCCTGACTTAGGTCTGAAATATTCCACTTAGCTAAACTTTATCGACCCTACAAATTATAGTTACAAATGCTGACAAATCGGTTGGGCTCATTTATTTGTTAACTTTGTAGGAAACCAGACTGCTTTCGTTAAGATTAGTGTAAGTGAATACAGCTGCTCTAAATTTAGCAACCTGCCTGAACGTGACTTTTGGACCATTGAAAACGCTTAGCTCATCTTCACGAAGTGTATCTTCAGCTATGTCACATGTCAGCTAGAGATGAATGCTCCGATGTAAACGTTTGGCCTTTATGATTGAGAAATCTGCACCTAATTTATGTTTCTTCCATAAACTCCGTTCAACGGAAAGCACACAAATTACAATTCCGGACAAAAAGAATATGTGATATTGGAAACACCGAGTGTTTACTCACGTTGCGCAAATTATGGACCAATCCGAGGCAAACTTTTTACCTCCTCAGATACAGCACCATATGGAATAAGCTAGTAAGAGAGATCAACTGTACTGAATATTCGTGTATGTTTAAAAAAATATATGAGGTTTAGCTGCCAATTGACAGAGTGAAACACATTCTAAACAGCCATTTTGATGATAAAAAAGCTGTTTGAATAAGGACCGAGTCATATAAGATACCAGAGCTTACCGCTTGCTGACGCATTACAATCGGATAAATTGCCTAAAGCCCTTAGAATATCGAGAAGCAATTTGCAAAAAGGTAGCACAACAATTTATCCCACACATATTACTCCAATTCTTCTACTCTTAACACTTTCCATCTCAGTCCCTCTACTTACCTGCTGGCTGACTGCACACGTCACATTTCAGGCAAACTGTCTGATACGTATTTACTCTGGACTTGACAACGGAGACTCAGGACCAATGTGCCGCGCGCATGTTTCATCCTATCTACCTACTTCTTATCTCTTTTCCCCCTTGTCGCGTATATTGACCAAACCTTCTTTGATGTCCATTTTTATGCCACCCCATGTCTACCATTTTACGCAGAATTAGTCTGGATTGGGTACCAAATTTTTCTGCGATTCTC